CTCTCTCTCTCTCTCTCTTTCTCTCTCTCTCACTTCCCCCATCTCCCTCATCTACCTCACTTCCTCTTTCCCCTTTCCCCCGCTTCCTTCTCCCTCTGTCTCTCCCTTTCTCTCCAAACACACATATATATTTATGTATACGTATATATTTGTATACATATATATTCAAAGTTTGGTCTCAGCCCCATAAAGTAATTTCAAGATTCACTAATGGATGTCACCCAAGTTTTGAAAACTCTGATATAGGCGTAAATGATTCCAGGAGTTCTGATGAAAGTGAGCACTAAAGACGGGCAGACGCGGGCAGGACAAGGACTTAAAGGGAGAGTAAGAACAGACACCATTTTTTTTTCAATGACTTGAATTGCATATCTTCATTATCTCTGAGGCTCTGGGAATACTACTGAGTTATCCTTTCACTGGGATTTTCAAGTGGCAAAAGAGACGGTTATGACAAATTCATTCAGAATCTTGGCAGTAGAGTGAATCTGTCTGGCTCCACAGTCTAAAGGCGTGTGATTTGGAGAAACTTCCTTAAACACTTTGCACTTCAGTCTCTTCATTTGTAAAGTGGGAGTAATAATGCCTGCCTCAGAGAGTTCTGAATATGATGAATATAAAGCACTTAGACTAATAAATCATATATGGTCAGCACTCAATAAATATTGGCTGTTGGCTAGTAAATAAATAGTTGATCAAAATCTGTGATAAAATTATGAACAAAATTCAAATGGGACAGCTAATATGTTTGCTCCAAAAGAGACAGCTAATATATTTGCTGAAGGCATTCAGGAAGTATTTCTGATGTCTTTCAGAGCATTGTCACTGAGTTTGGCACAGGAATAAAAAATTCTCATAATATTATCAATTATGAAGAAATAATTTTAGCCCAGTATACAATAAGGATATGTTCTCTTTAGAGAGCTCTCAGAGATTTTTTGTTTGTTTGTTTTTCATGTCTTTAATCTTTGAATATTAATGCATCGCAGCTGAGTCATCTAAATCAACTTTCCTCTGTGAAAGATGAGAGAATTTAAGTGTTGTTTAGTACTAGAGGTCCAAACATTTAGTTAAAAATCAGGAAAATAAGATAGGGAGGGGCTGGAAGGAAGGTGGGAGGGAGGTGGAGAGAGAGAAATTGATTGAGATTGTGATTAATATGTCTAAGATCATTCAGCAGAAAAACTAGGACTTGAATCCGAGGCACTTTCCACCGACTCTCCCATTTTTCTAGAAAGCAGTGACCATCAAAGATTATAAATTCACTTTAAAGTCAGGGGAGCTTTGCTGATGTAGTTGGAAAGAGCAAAATAGTGATTACTCAAAGGGAACAAAAGTTAGCACTCCCTGCTCATTGAGCATAACAACAACAATGACAAAAAATACAGTCCAACTTTAAAAATGGCTACTCAAATCACATATCTGTCTCATATGAAAAGGAGACCAAAGCTGCTTCTTCATTGTGAATTTAACCTGGGTCTCAGGCACTATGAATACGAGGTCTGACAAGTTTGCAAACTCATCCTAGAAAACGTGCTACATACCTCATTGCTGAATATCACTATGGTCACCTTCGAGGTACTCCCATTGGGAAGCTTTGCCCTGACGCCAGCGCCTAGTCCACCCTTCAAAGCAATTTTGGAACTCTTTTTCTGGAATGGCCATCAGAGCTGTCGTCATATTACCCTTGATGTCCTGAATGTCATCAAAATGTCTTCCTTTCAATATTTCCTTTATCTTTATGTAAAGAAAGAAGTCATTAGGGGCCAGATCAGGTGAGTAGGGAGGGTGTTCCAATCCAGTTATTTGTTTACTGGCTAAAAACTGCCTCACAGACAGTATCGTGAGCTGGTGCATCATGGTGATGCAAGAGCCATGAATTATTGGCGAAAAGTTCAGGTCATCTAACTTTTTCACACAGGCTTTTCAGTACTTCTCAATAGTAAACTTGGTTAACTGTCCAGTTGCTACAAATTCATAATGAACAATCCCTCTGATATCAAAAAAAGATTAGCAACATTGTTGCAACAAGTTCTCAAACTTAATATCAGACATGGTATTCAAATCTGACGTCACTCTAAGATTCCCAGTGGAAGAGGATGAATATTAGTTTTAAAAAGTTTCCTCTCTAGTCAGGGTTTAGAGGGTCTAAGCCTGGGAGATTCATTCATTAGCAAAGGTGTGTTATATTTGTAATTTTTTTTAATTGCAAAGTTCTATTATAGAGTAACTAGTACTATGCTAATGAAGACATTAAATTAAATTAGTGTATTACATACCATGCTGAGAAAATAACATTGTATAGTAATACAGTACAATAGATAGTTGCTAGGACAATAGGAATTTGTCCATAGTAAAGATGACAGTCATTTTTTGTGCCCTATCACTACAGCCAGTTTAAACAGGGAATGAGTCTGTCCCATTAATTAAATCCTAATGAAACTCTAGAATTACAGGGTCACTAAGCTTTCTTATACTCTGGGCTGTCTCTCTCAGTCCATCAGCGCCCCTTTATTTACTTTGTCAGCATAGTTTTCAAGGCTTTTATGTACCTTTCAGTGTCCTTTATGTAGGTCCACTAGATAGAAATACATGGATATTCAGAATGTTTACTGCATGTAGTGTGTTGTTGTTTTTTTTTCCCCAAAGTGTGTTTTTCTACTTTTTCTTGTGATAACACACCATTAATTACAACTATTTAACTGCTTTGGGGGGAACAAAATAGATGTATTCTGCAGTCATTCTTGTATACTAAACTGAGGGTTTAGGGGAATTATTTGAATTGCAAATACTTTCTATCCTAGAGCAGTGTTTGTAACTCACGGAAGATCTTAGCATGTAAGTTCATATCCCCACCCACTCACTTTTTTTTTCTGTCTTTGCAGTTCCGCCATGGTTTTTAAATCACCCTTCCAACCTCTATGCCTATGAAAGCATGGATATTGAGTTTGAATGTGCAGTCTCTGGGAAGCCTGTGCCTACTGTGAATTGGATGAAGAATGGAGATGTGGTTATTCCTAGTGATTATTTTCAGATAGTGGTAATTATCTCTTTTCATATTAGCTTTACAATTTCATTCATTGTTTACTATGTTTTCAGTTGTTTTTCTTTCCTGGGAAAGAGGTTCCTGTTGGGAATTTCTATGATGTGTTAAGAAAATTGTTCTAACATGATTGTCTAGACTTAGAATTTTTGAACTGAAAAAGAGTGATCAAACAGTCCATTCCCCCTTTTTTATCGACTAGGTTTTAAACAAACAAACTAACAAATTAAAAACAGAGGACCTGTGACTATCTTTGTAAGTATTCTCATTGCTGGTTCTTGGGACAGAGTTTAGAACCTAGTTCTAGCCTAGGCGAAGCCATAAATTTGTTGCTTCTGTGACTTTGACTTTATTATAATAAAGCTTCAACAAGATGTGCTACTTATGATTATGATAGTCTTACTTTAATAATTCAGGCAGATTTCTTTGGCTATCCCCTTCCTGATAGGACCAGCTGATCTAACATTTGTATTATAGTAGGAAAGGCAGTGGTGATGGTGATAGTGACTGGCAGTGGCAGTGGCAGTGGTAGAGAAGTCATGGAGACTGAGAGTTGATATTGCTTTGTAATTCTGAACACTGGAAAGAATTAACGCTAACAACAATAGTTCTTATAGTTACTGCTAAAAGTTTTAGTACACTCTCTGTCCCAATCCTTTTGGGGGATAATAGGGAAAATGGTATTATAGTCACTGAGTTGTCGCCCTGGTACGTAAGTGCTCAATGCCTACCATCATTATTATTGTTTTTATTGTTACTAGCAGAATGCTTCGCTCATTTGAAAAATGTTCTGGGAAAACTCATTTAGGTGGAGGTTACCATCAGAGGTTCTGGGAAAACTCATTTAGGTGGAGGTTACCATCAGACGTTCTGAGTCCACACCTATGAACATATGAGAAATATGAAAAGCACTTCCCAAATATCAAAGAACTTTCCAGCTAAAGGAAAGTTTAGGTCCACGTCTCATGTTTGCAATACAGACATGAGCCTGTCAAAGACAAGCGGTCTTCTAAGCCAGGTCTCCTGGAAGAATTGGATTAGAGTACATGTGCCCTGTGGGTTTAGGCATAAGCCGTCGCCATGGCCTAACACTGGCTATCAATGGTGGATTCCTCTTCCATGATCAATCAACTTTCAGAAACTTCCATGATCTCTTTGTGCACACATTGTCATACTATAAATGTCCTTAAGGAATAAACCCATAAAACATACCTTTATCACTTCATCACCACTTGCCATTTTTTACTTTTAGTTGTGTTTGTTTAATTGGTTAGGAATAGAGTAAAAAAGGGGAAAATTTAACTTTTGAATGCCACACCAATCCATGTGTTTCTTGAAGTATAATGCTATTTCCACTACCACTGAACTAAAAGATGACCTGTCATGGGGCAACCTGTATACCCCTAAAATGTATGCCACTTGCACATATGGGAAATTGTTTAGTGCCCTTAAGGATGCATGATAAAATGCAACATTTATATTTTTCTACAGTTTGAATAATCTTTCTCCCAGCATGACTCATTACAGCCAACCTATTTAAATGTTTCTTTTCTTAAGGTGAAAAGAAAATGTATGGTATGAGCCCTATTCACATTCAATTATGCTTTAAAATATTTCCTCAATAGCTCCAGAAATCAGAGAGCCATTGTCTGTGGAACATGTAACATTTAGCACAAATAGTAACTTATATGAGAATTGTTAATTAGAAGTTAGTCAGCTTTATCTAAGAATTTTATGTAAGCCGAGAATTGACTACAAGACACTAAAAACAATTAAGAATTCCCCATGAGGTAATATTTATCTCTTAATGACTTCAGGGAAAGTGATTTAACACATCTCACTTACTGAACTAATTCTTACACTAATATTGAAGATAAACTGAGTTAGTATAATTAAATGCTATCTCCAGATCATTTTATCATCCATCCTTAAAAAAGATGGTGGCTCAATTTATATAAAATAGGAGTTAACGCTGCTGTATTTAATTTATGGATTACTGAAGGTGAAACATTTTGGCCATATAATAAGACAACATGGGTATAAACTCTCTACCTTACACCCCCCTCCCCAATCCCCAAAAGAGTACATGTCAAGGCAATTAAAATTATCAAAGGGATTTGAGACATTGTTTCTCGATAAATACTTCCAAAAAATATCCAGCCTAGATTTCTTTCCCTTTAGAAGATGCAAAGATCAGTGTTTTTGTTCCTCTTTTCTTTTTTTTTTTTGCTTGCAGCTGCTAAACCTGGGCTTCCTTCAATAACAAGTAAAAGAATGAGATTTCTTTTGTCTCTAATTTTTGTTTTTTCCATGCCTAATAGAAGAGTTTTCTGTCTACTGCTCATTTCTACATTGAGGATGATGTGTATTTTTGTGAATATAGTTTTTTCATTGCAGAACTAGGTTAGATTGATGCATGTGGATTCAGCAGCGTATTGGGAATCTGTGTCATTTCCCAGGTGACATAGGACATATCTGTAAGGCAGGCAATCTTCATGGCCTCTCTTGTTTCTTCCATGAAGTTTTATTAAAATTTATTTATGTTCATTTTGTCATATTGGGTTTTTGCTTTTTAAAATACCTCACCTTGCTTTTCCTTCTACCCAGGGAGGAAGCAACTTACGAATCCTCGGGGTGGTCAAGTCGGATGAAGGCTTTTATCAGTGTGTGGCTGAAAACGAGGCTGGAAATGCCCAGACCAGTGCACAGCTCATTGTCCCCAAGCCCGGTAAGATGAGGGGAACTGTGGTGCCTCTCGTTATAATTATTCATGCTACATTTGTAAGATCCATATTGTTTTTCCCTATCTCTCAATTTGAAAATATTTAATTTTTTTGATTATTTGATTATTTAGCTAATCAAGGTATACATTTTGTGTATTAGTGGTATATTCTTTTCAGTTATATATATCCATCCAGCATGATATAGTCATCATGAGCAGTAAGTGCTTCTTGTTGTCAAGACAACCACTAAATTACTACCTTCTTTCCTCTTTTGTGACCTGGCTTTTTTTTCATATGTGTGTGTGTGTGTGTGTGTGTGTGTGTGTGTGTGTGT